TTGTTGAGAATCTCAAGATCACAGGGGAAAGGCAAGCTTACTATCATAAAAATACAGAGCTGAGTGAACTTCCAGAACATATTTCTCATCCTCTCATTTTGCCCAACAAAATCAACAGAAGAATGAAGAGGCAATTTTGTTTTGGTGAAACGTGGAGGACATAGCACAGGAAAAACTGATAAGTGTAGATGGCACACATGGGTGTAACTTGTTTTCTTATTCTAGGTCTGAAGCCCATTGAGACCTGCTGAAAATTCTAACCTGGTCCCTGAACGGACCTGAACGCCCATGTTATGATCCAGGCATGTCATGATCCTGGATGTCATGATCCAGGCAGTTGTGTTCAGCACAAGAAGCCTACAATTTCTGAGCAGCATAATGGGGTGAAGACAGGCAGGAAATGTTAATGAGAGCACACCCTTCCCCTGCAGTTACCACCCTTGCTCCTTGTGAATGCAGACCCGGCAGTTCATTGCCCTAATCCAGCCCCTCTCCTCTCAAAACATCCTCAGGTGCTGCCTCTCACATATGACCAGGTTAGCTGTGGTCTTCAGTGTGTCTTTAGATATAGGGACTTCTGCTTACTTTTGTGCTTTGCCAGAGCCGAGTTACCTTTGAGGTGATCCATGCAACTCAGAAACTATCACTGGTTTTCTAAATCCTATAAGTAACCACCAAACAAGCCATAGTACTGTACCCATAGGTATTGGCAGCCTAAAAGGATCAGCAGCACCTTCCCCTGCGCTCCACATTTCTGTCCCTGATATCAGAGTGTGTGCTTGGCCCAGGTGTTCAGTCTCTCAGAGCAGTTCAGAGTTGTGGAGAAGTCACCAGAAGCTGGTTCTCATGCACTGCACAAGAACACAAGCTTCACAGGATCCCAAAGACCTGAGCTCATCGACTGAGAACAAGTGATTCGTTTATGACTAACCACTGGTAAATTAAACACCACAGCAAAAAGAGGCCAACAGAAGGAGAAAGAGAAGGAAAGTTGCATAAAATATTATCAGAAATCAAACATACATCTTCCTTCATACAGGAGATTGCTTGCTTCAGTTTGTACTTGGGTGACTCCCCATTTTCAAAAATGAGTGATGAAATAATGAAGTAAGCAGGTACCCACTTCAGCTTTTATGGTTCAAACACTGGAGCACTGGAAGTATATTATTCCTTCCCCCCTTTTTCCCCAGCCAGTATTGAGGACAAGACAATGACAATTATATTTTTCTTTTCCTTTTTTTTTTTTTTTTTCCCTGGAGTCAAACTAACAGATGAAACTGTACAAAAGGAGAAAGGTAGTCAGCCAGAGATATAGCCTGGGTTCTGTTTCGTGGGTGAAATCAGAAATATGGAGACTTAAACCTATCAATATATTTTCAGAGACTTGTGTAATAATAACAATTGAGAGCTTTTATAGCTACACAAATCTGCCAAACAGCACTTCAGTGATATTTCAGGAGGGAATTGGGCAAAAAGCTTTTTACAGAGGTTTAGGGAAGTTCTGTCATGCCTGATCTATTAGATACTGCTTTTAAGTATTGCAACAGCACCTCTGTGCCTACAGTAGAAGAGGGAGGGCTATCAGGGAAACCTAAGCTGAAATAGAAACGACAGCAACTCTTCTGAGACAGCCAAAAGCTCCTCCCCAAAAGAACACTCTTGATGTTAGTGTAGGATGAGGAAACTAGACATGGCAAGAAACAGAGCTGGGAGATTCAAGAGATTGAAACCATGGAAAAAAATATTCTCTAAAACAGAAGAAAGTTCCTTTTTCAAAGTGACAAATTCATGTTTATATTAAAAAGAAAGAAAGAAATCATGACCTTCAAAACAGAACCTAATTATTCCAGCCACCAGCACAGAGCTGAGGACTTAGAGACCCTAAACAAAACAAGAGTAGTATGTTTTATTTATAAGAAAGCCATACTAAGATTGTTCATTACTTTCCCTCCTGAGTTGTTATGAGAAAGCTAAGATTTAATTCACACTGTGTATATTTGTAATGCATACTGGAATTAAGAAATTTTACAGAAAACAGATTACAATTTTTAAAACATTGCTTTTAGCTGAACACACCAAGGGTTTCAGCTAATTTGCATATATACATAGGCAGATTTTATTTAAAATGTATATCTTTCTCTATTTGCCTTTCCTTTTTTTCTTTCCTTGCTATTGGCACAGAAATGGCTTGAGTTCAGTGATACTAAAGCATTATAGGTTTGGGGAGAGCATCCTTGGTCTCGTTCTGGTCTTCACCTTTCTTCTCTCTTGAGTGAGAGTAAAAATGGGCTGACCTTTAGGATGACTCAGCTTCAACATCACCCAGCTGCCCATTTAGGCTTGTACCTGCTTATCCCAGTCCTTCTGCTTCCTGAATTAAACACTGCTTAGGTCAAAAATAAACTGTTTGACCAGCCAATGACCTTACTTAGATCCCAGTTTAGCTTTTGAATTGCTAATATCCTTCTACACAAAATATGCCTCTTAAGAGGTGTCAGGTCATTTACTGGTCTTTGTCCCTACATATATTCCCAGGCAAGGTGACAGCTGCACAGCAAGCACATCAGTTCTCTGGTTACCATTTATGCTCAGCATGGAAAAATTATCTGGAAATTGCCACAAAAATGGTACTGTTTTTGACCTGTGCTCTCTCCCTGTGCTTCACTTCTACTTTACCAAGTAAGTTTAATGGATCAAGGGAGAAAAAGCCCAATAAAACAGTAAAAACAAGAACCAAGGAAACCCTGCTCGTCTGGGCCAAATGGTTGAGATTTGTTTATTGCTGTGCCCTTCCAGTGTTCAACCTGAAAGTACTGAGAGGATGCCACCAAGGGGTTTAATTCCCAGTAAAAGTCTGCTTAGTTTGAGTTGTCCACATTAATTTTAAAAGCACACTGCCAATAACTATTACACCAGCTACAAACCTGAAGAAGACTAGCTGAAACCCAAAGCACTTGGAGCAGTGAATAAGGCAAGAACCTGAAAATGTGTTGCAGATGAGAGAAAGAAAGAGCCTTTGGAGTCTGGAAAAGTAACAGAGACATTACTTCTGCTTTTAGCTTGCTCAAGCAAAAACCCCAACTAGAAATAAAATAATCAAGAATAAACGCTTTGTAGACAGGATGACTTGGAAAAAAGCAAGACCAAGTTACTTCCTTTTTAGCTCTGCTGACATAAAATTTTAGATATCCCAAATGTTGGAAAATGTCCTGGCACCAACAGAAATTGCTGTTTCCTGAAAAAGCACATATACATTTTTGAGCAAGGTCTAATTATTTTAAAAAAAGGACAAATACTTGCTAAGACTGTGACTTCTTTTTGGGTTGTAATTTTTCATGCATTCTGATCACACAGCTGTTGTTATAAAGTAAATATCCACCCCAAATTCTGTTCTCTCCACTTATTCCAAATATTTGGTAGCACTTCTTTGACTTTCTTAACTTTCTAAATGGTGAAAAATGAACAGGCTGGTTTATTTATTTATTTATTTATTTTTGGTACTTTAGATACTTCCCGTTTAATGGCCATTCCCAAGGTATATTTGGAAAGAAGTTTTTCATTGACATTGAATGACTGTAAATGTGAGAGAGAAAATAAGAGTAAAACCAAGGAAAAAGATTACAAACTATACTGTCGGATAACAAAAAAAGTCATGGGCTTCTGAATACTGGTAACTGATATAGGGAATATGAACCACAAAAGAATTTTCTACTGCAATCTTGAAGATGAAAAATCAGAGCACTTGGCTGAAACAGAAGATAATTAGAATTTTTAACAGATAACTGAAGTAGTTTTGATTTCAGTTTTTCTTCCAGAGAACAGAAAGTCACAGCTGGGTTTAGGAGGAGATAAACAGGCTGAGTATACCTACAGAATCCTGGTATCCTCATCTGGTATTCCCAAGGATATCTGAGATCTACTCTGAAGGAGATCTGTCCAAGGAAGACAATCCAGGCTTTCTGCTTCCATCGCATTTTCCAAAAGAATACACTAAATGGGTAAAAGTATTCCTAAAATTAGGGATTACTAGCCAAACTGTTTTAAAAGAAAGTTGCAAAGAAGCAAATGCAGGTTGCACCCAGAAACTAGTACAGGAAAATACTACCTGGATCCCAACAGCAGAATATTCCTCTCAAAACCCCCAGTTTTATAGACTACCAGCAGCCTTGTGTGTTGCACACTTGCTGTCCTGAGTGACTCAGTTGCATGCAAGGGCTCCAGAGCACCTACTTTGACTTAGCTTTGGTTTAATCTCCCAGGCACAGAGGGAGTTCTCCTCAACATTTCTAACAAGTGGAACCAGCATTTTAGATATTGCTTTCATTTATGCATTACAATTATCCCAGAGCATTTTTTTACTGTCCCTTAGATGAAGGAACCAATCTTTTCTTATTTTGCATCATGTCTTTGTTTCTCTTCAAGCTCCTGACACATTCCTTCTCCATTTTCATGCAGAGATAGTAATACAGCTTGAGCAGTCTATTTTGTCAAGGGAAGGAAGAGGAAAATAAACTTAATTTTTCATCAGGTAAAACAGAGCAAGTTACATCCTCCCGTGAAAGAGAAAATGGTCTGGATCTCATGCTGCTTGCAAAGCTAACCCTTATTCTGAAAGCTGACTTGGTGCTTCTACTTAATGTTTGCACACTGGAAACTGAATCAAAGTAAGTTTAAAAGGTTGACAAGCCTTTGCTCTCATCTTTCAGTGGAGGAGATGGAGCTGAAAGCAACAGCAGCATCCACTGATGGTGGCCTCTTGAAGGAATTTACTGTCTACAGAGACAAAATAAAAAGCAAAACCAGTCCTGTAAGATGAGAAAATGAGATAAAAAAAAAAAAAGAAGAAATAAAACCAATGGCTTTGACAAGTAAATATAAAATAAACTGTAGAACATAGTTAGAAATGGCAGACTCCTTCCAAATACTAAAACGTGTGAAACATTGTCAAAAATATAATTTAGAAAATAATTTAGGTTCAATGGTCAGGAATTATTTACCTGTCTGTGTCTACTGCTAGTCCTCCTCTTCCATGTTTTCATTAATTCAACAAAGTCACATACATTTGCAGAGGGAAAAAGCCTTGCTGTTATCACTCCCTAAAGAAATTGCAGAGAGAATTCAAATCTGTGTGCATGCAGAGACAGGAGACGTTTGAAAGAATTAAGTAGAAAAAAAACCCATTTATTTGTTGTCTCCCACAATACAACTGATTTAACCATAAGGAAATATAAAAAATACAGTAGACATAAACTTATGAGCCCAATTGCTTAAAACCTCATCTTGGAGGATTGACAGAATTTGATCCCAAAGCTACTAAATACTTCAACCTTGGTAACGGTAAATATGTAATTAACAGCAAACTATTCTGCTGATCTTTAGAGGCACCACTGGGGTGATTGTCAAGAACCTTTCATTCAGCTTGTTCTTAATATGGTTTGGAACAATTACATTAAAAATAAACAGAATGGTTTTCCAAAAGTATACCATTGTTGATTTTCCACAGGAATGTCTTGGGTCCTATAAACCAGGTGCTGCTGTAGCATATTGGAAATGGAAGGCAACAATTCAGAATGTGTATAAGTGATATTATGTACGCTACAATGCCTCACCGAGTTCACGCAAAAGAGGTTCTTCCCAGCGCTTTAATTGGCACTTAACTCCTTTTACAGCTTGTTTGCCAAGACAGCCCGCACAAAGTAGTCAAAGTGTAGCTAGGAGTATTATAAAACACATCTTTACAGGAAATAGGAACATTCATTTGATAATTGGCATGAAATCATGGCCATATTAATTTAAAAATCATTAGTTCCGCATCTGTGAGATGCTGAGTGCTTTTTGACCTCCGGGCATGCACAGCAACCAAAAGCACTGGTTAAAGCACCTGGAGGCACCTGTCAGTGTGAGCTGCCTGGTGCTGAACGTGGGTCCAGCCCCTGTGGATCACCCTCCAAGCCTCAGTCACGTGCACAACCCTAACAAAAATTACTCAGAGGTTTCTTGGAGTGAGCAGTATATTCACCCACTCATGTTACAAGTGTCTCACAATAATTCCATTTCAAGTGAGAAAATACAGTTTGGTTGCAGACCTAGAAGTACAGGAAGAGTAGCAAATACTGCATTCTGCAACGAAGCAGAAAGTACTTGTTCAACAAACCAAACATATTCTTTAGGAGCAGTCTGATTGCTGAATCTTTTTGACAAAAGCAAGAGGGGAAGTACAGGGAGATGGGATGGCAGGCCTGGATATGTACAGATGAAAAGATGGCTGCCTCCCAGAGACAGGATTTCATGGTTTCCAGACAGTGGAGGAATAACTAAAATGTATTTTGGTTCACTTGAGAATAATTGCTTTCCAATTCTCTCTTCTAGGAAACTTGGAATTCAATTCTTTGCTGTATTGCTGAAGTAATAACATGTTTATTTGCAATTTATACGTCTATATATGTATACATACACACATACACATTTCAAGGAGAGGTACAGAGGTACTTTAGAGTTTAGTTATGGCTTTTTTTTTTTTTTTTTTTTTTTTTTTTTTAAGGATTAGGAAAGTGACAGGGAAAGAGAGAAGGAAATGAATGTCTTTTCCCAGGAAGGAGAATATCCTCCTTTTAAAGCAATTGTTCACTGCTGCTATTAAAATTCAAGTCCATTGTCATGTAGAAATCAGTTGATCAAATGGAGAACTTTGCTTTATTTTTTTAACTGAAAATATACAGAACTGTACATATAAACAAACTAATATATTTAGAAATTTTCATTTTGTGTTTATACTTTACACTGAACCACTCCCTCTTCTCCTCTTGCACTTACCAGTCACATGAGCAATCACTGTAGTCTTGCTTGCTAAGGAAGATTCTTCTTTAAAATAAGGTATTCCTAAATAGAGATCACTCATTAACATCGATGCTGGTCTTAAACAGTCTCAAAGTCTGCAAGTATAGAGGTCAATGAAAAAAGTGTTAAGATACACAGTAAAACACTACTGAGTTTTATTGGCTATTAAGCTTAGCTAGCCTTTGTAAACCACAAGCACATACTAAATAGTGATATGAGAATGCACACAATGCAGCCAAATAGTGCCAGCAGGTTGATACTGCATTTCAATCTTCAGCTATGTTTTTGCCTTTTAACTTCATTAGCCTTTTTTACTGATGATTGAGATGAAGGGATACATCCTACAAAGGACTATAGCAAATCAGTATAACCTTTTCATCAAAGGGTGAATTTTACAGATTGCTCAAGACATTACAAGCACATACAATGTCTCTTCATACTTTAAGGTCTGTCTAATGGATTGCTATGGTTTTGATTAATGTACCATCTGACAAAGCAATAACTCATGGGTCGACAATGCACAGCACCTGCTATTTACAACGTTAAGTTCCTCAAAATACGGTCCACCACCCAACGCCAATGTAGAATCCACAGGTTTCTTCTCACCTCTGCAGTACCATTTTCAAAAGGATGACTTATTTGGCTTTGAATTGCATAGGACTGTAGCAAAAGAACCTTAATGTCTCCATCCAAACTACCCAGCATGCATACCTAATAAATATCATAAACAAATACACCACAGCCACAAGCTGTTCTGTGATTCATACAAATGGATTTGCTAACTCAACCTGACAACTCCGCTGATTAGACAAATAAAGTGTCTCGGATAACACCAGTATCGATAATAACATTTTCCAAATGGGACAGCTATATTTCAAGCTGAAAATTGCAGACTGTTAAAGACCATGAAAAGGCTTGTACAAGAGCTAAGAGGAAAAAGCAGCTATTTTATGAAAGACTGGTTCTTTTGCAGTCCTTGTTCGTACTAGTGGTTTCTGGCTGATACGCACCTTAGTAAGGAGACATGTCAATGTGCAGGGTAAACTTCTGAGCAAAGCACAAGACGCTGAGCTCTGCTGGGCATTTTACTCTGTGGAAGTGGCAACACAGGCTAGCCAAGAGAGATGCCAAAGCTGCAAGTGGATCCTCCTTTCTCCATTCCTCTGACCTGTCCCCTTTTTCTATTCCTCTCCTGCTCTGGGAAGCACAGTGTGCCCAAGGGACAGGACAAGGATGAAGAACCAAGGCTGGAGACGCTCACTGCAGCAGCCTCGCTGTGCATCAGGGCATGGGAGAGGGCACAGGCAGGGCAGCGAAGCAGCAGACAAGGAGAAAGTCCTGGTCATTAGAAACTCCTATGGAAAATAAAATATAAAGAAAAAGGTTAGGAACTTCTGGTTTATATGGTGCATTGCAGAAAGGATGTCACCAGCCCCCATCAAAGAAGCTTTTGGAACTCAAAGGAGACAATCTGTAATATTTCTGATGCCTGCTTGAAATATTTAGCTGCAACTAAAGAGAACTAGAAAGCACTCAAACTGCTCAAGGGAGAATAATAAGATGAAAGAAGATACCATTAAGATAATTTTGCATACAGGAGATCAGTACAAGACAGCTCTTCTCTAAAAAGAAATAGCAATTTTGTGATCTTTAAAATTAATTTGGATACTCTCATTGCTTTTACAGAGAGCTTTCCACAGAAAATTGAAATGGAAAAGGGTTTTTAGAATTAAGAATGATTTGAGATGATGTGACAATGTTCAAATGATGCTGTAACATTTGAAGAGTGAATTAGTCTCATTACCAGGCTCTTTTTTTTTTTTCAGCAGCACAGAATTTTTAAGAGCACTTTTGCAAAAATTATCAGAAATGTCCACTTATATAATAGCTTCCTGTTATTTAAAAAGCTTTTATTGACACTATAAAGTATAAACTACTTGAGAACATGAAAAGTAACAATTGGCAGTGGATTTGATATTATTCTAAAATTGAAAAAAAATGAGATGATTTCATGAATTCCCAATTGTTCCAAAGACTCTGTTTCAAACCAGCAATTAGCAAAATAAGCAAAATTTACCATGTTAGAGAGTACTTTTTCCCAAAGCCCAATATATTAAAATTGAACCTAAACAGGTTTTGTGTTTCTTTGAACAGTAGAAAACATCCATCCAAAATCTGAAGAGTGCACATTAGAAACAGAGACTGATGGTTTTTCCCAGCTAGCAGATTAAGCACAGAACTTGAGGTTCCTTTTCATGTGCAATTTCAAAACGATGCAAAATGCCAGCTTGTACAAAACTGATAAATATATGCAATGTTGGGAACTGAAAGCTGTGCTTGTCAGTGCACCTGCAGTGATGCATTTTGGCCCAGGGAAAATTTAAACATGTTACAGCTCCACCTACTGAACCAAGAAGAAAGGATCTAAAGGGGTATAATTGGTCAACGTAATGAAATGGAGCAACTGAGAACCTATGCAGACCCCGAGTCAGAGTTTTTATTATTTTTGACGCAGCTGTCTCTTCAGCACTTACACTCCTGCTTGAGATCAGGTAGTACCAGACACAGCAAGCCACACTAAAGTAGTGGGAGTCAATCAACTTGCCCTGTTAGAAGCAGCAGCCTGTTTTTGAAACTCCCAGGAATTTTAACATGTTCATTTCTGCTTTTGCTTCTGGTCATTGACTGGCACAAAAGTCAAGGTTTGTATGCACAGCCCTCACTTTAGAAGGATGGTGCTACTCTGGTGGTTTTGATGAAGCAACATATACTCTGTCTGCTGAAGGACCATGAAGTGAACAAGCATTTGTTCTCCCTTTTGTTGTCCTTTTTTAGCGTATGACAAAAAGTATAAAAAAGGTTGACCAACGTGAAGTTCACTTTACACTGGAGGAATAACGTGGAGGGTAAAAAAAATAATACAAAAAAAATCAACCTTGTAAAGAAATCTAATCATGTAACTACAGCTTTAGCAAAAGATTCACCTCTTTAATCTAATGACAGTAAGCCTGAATCAAGCATGCTATTTCTATGAATGCTGGTCTCATATATATGCCCTGTGGGTTCATAGAGTGGCTCAGAGCTAGAAATTCCAGGTATTGCAGAAAACTTAAAGACAACAGCAGGTCAGCCAAGTACTTTCCTACACCTTGGGACCATGCTGACAGTGGAGAAATAACCAAAAGATGTTGAAGCAAAAGTTCTTAATCAATAGCTAACGTTTAGCACTCACTAAGAAAGGTACAAAGAAATGTGGCAAAACAGCCAGAATAGGAAGAGCATGAATAGCATAAATCTTTCATGCCACCTGAAAGATTCTTATAATTAGTCAAAACAGCACTCTCTGAGTCTGAAGGCCAGAACATCTGAGTATTGCACCCCAAGCAGTGCAGTGTTCAACAATTTGACAGATATAGTAGGCAAATAATGAGGCATTTAGTCCAGAGGATTACCAGAGTCCAAACACTCACAGAGTGCTGGAAGAGCATAGCTCAAAACATACAGAACCTGGAACGTCAAAACAAAATGATATTTTTTATTTAAAAAAAAGAACCTGTGTGGGACATAAACCAAACAAGAAATGACACTGATAATAACTGTAAATTGAACATATGCCTAATGTTTTCACGCTGTAATTAAACAACCTAAGTGCAGAAGGGATGATAGTTAAAAAGAAAACATTTACATCAGTGGGTAGGGAATGTGGAGTCAGACTCCTTGAAAGGTAGACACAACTGTGTGCGTCTTGGTCTTGCATATATTGTTCCTTGCTTGCCACTTGTCTGTCTAACAGAATTTTCTTGACAAATATAGTCTGAAGTGGAGACTTGGATCCCAAGCCAGCAGTGAAGGCAGGCGTGGGAGGAAGGCAGCTGATAAGAAGCCAATCCTGAAATAGCCAGGAATGGATGAAGATGGCAGTTTCTATTCACGCAGAGAAACAAGACTTAAAAATTGGAAATTTATAGCATAAGAAATCCCTTTTTCATCTTTGATTCTTATGGACTCAGGGAATGAAGAAAAAGCAAGGAACACAAACGTCACTATTAGGATTGTTGGACAGTAATGAGAGCATTCAGGACTCTTCTGAATTGACATGTTTTGTGGAGGAGCTAAAGAACATGGAGAGCAGACTGGTTTCAGCTGACATGAACAACAAACATGACTCTTTGTGACATTTCCACTACTGAACAAGTTACAAAACCAATTTATGAATTAAAAGCAATGAAGAATCAGTGGGAATGATATTCTTTTGCCTAACAGCTGCCTCTCCCCACTAAATAAAAAGATTTTGAAATAGCACACATTGGTGGACAGAACAAAGAGAAACAGGTAAAAACCAACCGAACAAAGCTCTAATCTCTTGGGTGAAAGACATAATATATGGAGTTGATTAGAGTTAATTTCATTCTAATATCACTTTCTCAATTTGTAACAAATGTAAGAATGTAGCAGCACATTATAAGATCTAAGGAGATTCCGATTTCATAAGAAAAACGAGGAAGAGCAAATACGATACATTAAAAAATAGATCTGGCAATAGGTACTTAAAATAGAACAAATTACAGAAACGTCCATTAAATATGACTGAGAAGCAAGATAATGGGCTTAATATTTAAAAAGTGATTGAACAAAGAGGGAATATGCAAATGAACTGAATATAACCCTAGAAACAGATGAGACTCTGAAAATGACGGGAAAACTGAATATTGTCACAATACCACATATTTAGAACAAAAGAAATTTTTTTCTTTTGGAGAAGAAGCAATTATAGTTTTTGGTAACTCAAAAATTATTTTAATATTTACCTAACATCAGCAGCGAGGGTGGTGCTGAATGATTATTGTTCCAGGAGTCTCTAATCACAATGCGGCGTGTGCTGCTGTGGCCTTGCAGCGGGGCCTCCAGCCTGATGAAAAATTACAAGTGACTTTCAGAGGTCACCTAGAAGACACCAGCTAGCTTGCTTTTTGCTGGAGGAACTGAAAGGCTTAGGTTGCTGCAATCCTTTCTGATCCAGAGAGCTTTCCAATTCAAAACAGGAAAGTTGCAGGGACTAATTTTTTGATTACTTAAGAGGCAGACACCTTGAGACTTCAAGTGATGAAAAGCAATTCCTCAGGGCAGGAGCTAAAGATTTCACTATGTTAATACCACAACTCTTCAACATTCACTTTCTTCAAGCTAGTAGTCTTTAATGTGCCTCTTTATCCCTCTAACTTTGTGCTCAGCATTTTCCAAAATGTCACCCACACTTTGACATCTTTCTCCCTTACAAGTGTACCTTTTAAGTTTCATGTATGCTACTTTCTACCGGGCTCAACAGTTGACTTTAGATATCTATTTTCAGCTTAAACGTTTACAAAATTCACACAAACACTTGGACAGGTTGTTCAATTTGCACAAAAAAACTGTAGCAACTGAGTAAATTGTTTACAGCTTAGATTAGAAAACTTTGCCTAGCAGGAACAGTTACTTTATTATTCTTGAGCAGATATTATAAATGAACAGTTATCACAATTAGAAAAAGGGATAGGAGAAATGCTAATAGTGCGAGATAGAAAATCATCATCAGGACCCCAAACATTTCAATACAGATATTCTAAAGCAGGAGAATTCCTTAAAAGAACCCTCAGTCAAGCTCAGCAGGATACAAAATAAAGGCACAAAGCAAAAATGACTGATAACAGTAAAGCCACTGGGCAAACCAGGGACAAGAAAGAAAAAGATCACAAGTTTGTGATCCAATTTCAGAAGTTGGAGCTCAAAAAGCGGGCTCTGTGATTAAAATCTGGTTTTAAGGATAGGTAAGGTTATCATCCAAAACAAACCCCAGACCCCTGGTCCTTTCCGATTTATATTGTTGGGCTCATTGGCTTGCTGAGTTTATAAAACACCTACTACAAGGATTTTTATAAAAAGTGCACTTGTTTGAAAGTAGGTGTGAATCATTTATGACATCCCGTTGTGTGTACGACAGGTACAATCTGCGCCTCACCCTGCAGCAAACAAGCAGATTACAAGCAGCGGGCAGAGAAAGAGCATTCTGCTGGCTGAACACTATTAATTTGAGAAGAAAGAAATAAGGTCAAGGTTAAACACTTCTGAAAAATTTACTTCCGGACTCCACAGTTGCAAAAGATACAAGAACATGTTCACCTAAACAGCAGTAAATTTAATCCTGATAAAAACTGAAAGACCAGATCAAAAGAAAAATCAAGTCTTGCCATACTGGGAGCATCACACAGGGATACTCATGTCAACACCTGTAATTTATCACTGCCGACAAAAAGGACTCGAAGAAAGTCTTCCTAAGAGCTCACCTAAAGCTCTTACTGTGGCACCAG